AGACCTTAACCTCCTGTCGCTCCAAATGTCCACAGCCAAGGATAAAAGTGCAGCTGTTGAACAAAAAGTTTTTAATTGATCTTGCATTTTTTCATTATAATGAAGGAATGGTCGTTCGACTCAAAGTTCGACGACTTATCATGCTAAATTTAGGATCTACCGTTTTCATGAAATTAATAAAGGCTGGTCGTTCTACAATTGATAAAGGCAGACCTAATTTAATAATTAAATCATTCACGATGGCCATTGATAATTCAGCTTGTCGTGGATGATTTGTATTATATGTTGAACCTTGTGTTGTAAGTATTTTTTGAAAATGTTTTGTAATTTTATTCGTTTGATTTTTTGCAGATGTGCCTTTTAATTCTTTTAATTCATGTAACCATATGTCAAATGCTTCTTTATGATGTTCTCGAACATGTCGAGTAAAATTGGAAGTAACACCTATGTTATCAAAAACTCTTTTTGGTTTTTCACATAATAAGCATTCAGCTGACCATCTCTTTTTTTCTTTTTGATATTGAATATCTTTAAAGAATTTATCACGAGCAGTTCTAGGTATGTTTGATGATGAACACGAAGAGTTGTTTCCTTGGCTCATATTAAAATTTAACTTTATTTTGTTAGATTATTTATAAATTTATTTATTGTAAAACAAAGAAATCAACGTATTGTCATTAAGGGAACTATTGGAAATGAGATAGCCAATGAAAGCTGCAAAAGAGTCTTGACATTTCCAAAATCCTTTATTTTACTTCGAGCTGAATTCATTCTGGGGAAATAGTTATTGTTTATAATTATGTTTTGTTAGATTTCAAATTAGAAACCAAAATTGAATTGCATAAAAAATTTATATGCTTATGCATTTTTGGACTTGACTTGACTTGTTATTTTAAGACCAAGTCACAAGTCAAGTCAAGTCATTTTTGGCTTGAATCAAGTCAAGTCAAGTCAAGTCATCATTCATTCAAAAAATTTCCAAGTCAAGTCATACCTGATTCAAAAAAATCTCCAAGTCAAGTCAAGTCAAGTCAGACTTGACTTGACTTGACTTGATTCAAGTCAAAAATGACTTGACTTGCCCATCTCTGTATATATAACATTTAAAGACACTAAAGACATTGATTCTTTCCTCTGCTCGAATCGGAGCACCTGGTGCCAAGAGTCTTGCTGACGCCATACAAGATAATACAGTATTTCTCATGATTTCTCTATTTTCTTTCTGCATTTTCATTATAACCCTTCGAAATTAATTCAGTTTTATTTTAAACATTTTAAAATCTTATTGATTTTATTTAATTATTTTTTATTTCGTCGATTATTATTTTTAACTTTTTTGATATATTTTAAATAAAATTAATTATATATTAATTTTTTTAATCTATTTTAAGTCAATGCGGAACAAAATTAATTCCATTTATTATTTATATTTTAATTTATTGCAGCTGCTTAAAATTAATCTAATACGATTATATATTTACAACTAATATAAAATGAAATGAATCGAATGTGGAAGTATATTTGTTTTATTTTTATTTTAATTAGAACAAATTTAATTTAATGAAATTATTGTTTCTTTTTTTAAACAAAATGATTTAATCTGTTAGTGTTAGCATTGTTTTTATATTATGATGAAATGAATTGATCTAATGTAATTTCTGTATTTTATTTTAATTAAAGCAAAATCGGCGTATTACAATTATTTATTTACAATTAAAATAATGTACAACAATTTAATTTAAGAATATTTTTTTTCAATTTAGATTACACTTATTTCTTTATTGTAGGTTAGTTTTACGATTGAAATAGGGTGGGGGTGTGGGTGTGGGTAGGAGTGGGTGTGGGTGAGGGTGTGGGTGTGGGCATGGGTGGATGTGGGTGTGGGTGTGGGTAGGAGTGGGTGTGGGTGAGGGTGTGGGTGTGGGTGTGGGCGTGGGTGTGGGCGTGGGTGGATGTGGGTGTGGGTAGGAGTGGGTGTGGGTGAGGGTGTGGGTGTGGGCCTGGGTGGATGTGGGTGTGGGTGTGGGTAGGAGTGGGTGTGGGTGAGGGTGTGGATGTGGGCGTGGGTGGATGTGGGTGTGGGTGTGGGTGTAACTACTGTATTCGTCCACACCCACATCCACCCACGCCCACACCCACACCCACACCCACACCCCACACCCCACACCCACACCCACACCCACACCCCACACCCACACCCTTTTAACGCAAAGTTTATCACAAATCAATAGTACGATAAGGAGAATCGCTTTTTTGTTCGTGTTTCATTGGATAAATTCGAAGATGACATAATGCCAGGTAGATCATGATGTTTTCTTCTGATGAAATACTTCGATCAGTGTGCGCAACTCTTGTTCGAACGCCTTATTGATTGAATCTTGAAGTGTTTGCCCGGTCCGGTTTGTGCAGTCGTTCAGATCAGCCGAGAGACAGCAGATAGGCAGTTGAATTGTGACACCATTGACTATGCTTCCTACGAACAAGTTTAGTTCGTCTTTTATGTTGATTACTGCAAGACACTCGATATAAATGCTCCAGCTCTGGCCTCTGTACCAGTGAATAAGCAAATCAATATTTTTCCGTTGATCCTGATTCAAATTGATCTCGTCCGTCCAGTGGAAATTCTCGTTGAATGCCCAATAATAAGAATCTGTGCTAGGACGTGATGCTTTAATGAAATTATTTTTAGCATTAACAAAAATGGAGGCGATTTCCGTAAAACGGTCGGGAAACGCCGATGCCGAAGGTAGATTGTGCTCCAAAATGACTGGTACATCGACGGCGATTAGTCGTTCAATGAGGCGAAGATGATTAAGCAGCTGATCGACGGTCCACTGATAGGCCGCCAGAGCAAAACCCCGATCAAATGTGTGCATAAGATATTTGTTTATCTGTTCAACATCACACTTGTTTCCTGTATACAGGCAAAACAAAAGTCAAATCACCTATCATCCATTATGTGATTCTGCATATCTTAGATCTAGTAAACTATTCAGAAATACATGTACCTGCATCATGAACTGCTTGCTTAATTTTGCTGTCGATCTTTGAATTCGGACACAAATACTCTTTGTATTTCAGATTATGGCACACAGTGTTCGGTTGTTCTCTTGAAAGTAGCCAAAATAGAATGGCACATGTGCTGCTCGAATCAATAGTTGGACTACGTCGAAGTTGTTTGAGATGAGTCTTTTCCTTCTCCGATAGACTCTTTACCGATTGCGAAGCTAACTGTGGTACACGATACCACACATTGCCTAAATCTTGGCCATCATTCGTCGCATCGAGATCAACATCGAACTTGACGGTGTCGAACCTTTTCGTACCTTTTTGAATATAAGCAAGGCCAAAATCAAGGACAGTGATCTTCCCATGATCGAGTGAATTATTGTCGGAACACTTGACTTGGATGTTGTCTGGTTTGAGGTCACGATGAACAACGCCGCGTGCATGGAATGATTGGATGATACGAAGTAAATTGATACAGAAGCCAATGGCTTCGCGTAGTCCAACATCCGGTCGATCTTTCTCTATGACATCAGTGAGTGAATATCCAGGAGCCAAATCCAGTACTATCCATAAAGTATTATTTTCTTTGATGGCTCGCTTTGTGTCCTTGGGAATGTTAGTATCAATAAGAGAAGTCACATTTGGTAGGCCTAAACGGAAAATGTACCATCACATCATAATCTAACTGTTGTTCTTTTGATTACATCTTGGTTAGTAAAATAGAATAAGCATAGATTACAAGAGATTTATCATCTGATTGTAACAAACAGTGGCAGTGGATAAAGAAGTAAAATAATCTAGAGAACATTTTGCTACCATGTGGCCTCTGTTTTGTGTTTCACTATTTATGACAACCATATTTTAGTTCTCTTGTCATCTCTGCGTATATGACTTGGGTATCTCTCTTCGAATTTTCTCTGAAGACGCAATTTACGTCGAAACATCAAAGAAACAACATTTGAATAACGCAGAATACAGAAAACAGTGCTTTTTTTAAAAAACATGTCCTCAATAGAGCTTGAAAACGAACCGATCCGAATCGGCTGTCCAAAACTTGAATCGAACCAAACCGAACCCGAACCTGACAAGTGCGGTTCGTTTCGAGTCTTTACCACTTATGAGTTTGGAAAAGTCGTTTGGTATACTCGAAAAAGTGCTCTCAATACCTCGAAACGACTCAATGCTTGAAGAGTGGTCAAGAAAAATGAATGTTAAAGAGCTATACTGTACAAAACCAGCTTTCTCTAGCTTTCTTTCTGGGCAAGAACCGAACCGATCTCTAACCGACTTTTTGCAAACTGAGTCGAACCGAACCTGAACCAACCGCTGGAAAGTGGAAACGAACCGAACCGAACTCAAACCCAAATCCGAAAAAGTCGGTTCGTTTTGGGCTCTGGTCCTCAAAATTGATACTCAGCTGATGAAAAATACGATTTTTTGGAAATGAATAACTTGCCTTGCATTGTGCGAAGAGCCACCATTTCACGATGACTTCGCATACGTTTCGTCGCATTGTTCTGGCGTTTATAGATTTTGGCGACCGCTTCATCGTGCGGCTCGGAAATGCGACGCATCAGTTTCACATAACCCTGACCAGTATCCGTTGCGCCAAGCTTAGTATGCAGATCTTCCCATATACCTTTATTCTTCAGATCTTCTGGTAGATCTAAGTCGGTTTCTAAAAAAAGAGGGCTTTCAAACGTTAAGAAAACATGGTTCATTGACTGATATATAACCATTCTCTGGATTAATGTTGGATGACGGTTGTCGTGACTGGTTTCCTGAAAGATAACGACAGTTAAAGAGTTGAAACCTTGCTTAGAATTTTGACGTAACTAGAAACGAATAAATTCGAAAAGTATTAAATTACTCTACACTAGCTCTCCGTGTGTATTGCCTTTTTGGATTTGTGCAAGTGTTCTTTAGCAATTCTTCTTGAACTACTCACGCTTTTTTGTTTCATTTGTCACTTCACATTCAACAATAGCTGAAGTATTATCTTGAGTCTGACTGAGACTTGGTGTCACTGTTTCGTCGACACTTGGCGGTAAAGATAATGAACATTGGCTGAAGTCGATGTCGTCATTTTCAACACTCTGATGGGTATTCATGTCAAGGATTTCTCCCTGGCTTTTAGTTCCATCAGCATGGTGTTCTTCGCGTTCGTCGAAGTCGTACTCCAGTTGACACTTTATTTTGTGCCCATCAAGAAACATTTCGTTGTGCCACGTTTGCATAAATGCACTTGCTTTTAGGTCCGACGGTTGGCGTCTTAGATAGACAATAGTGCTAGATGTTGCCATTGTCGATGTTTGATTAGGTGGAACGCAAAAAAAACCCTGTTTTGGTACACCCATTCTTCGGTGTAACATTTCGACTGTTGTGCTTGCTGGGAGGCCAATTATCTTCACTTGATACAGTGCCCCTAGGCGACCTATGACCACCAAGATATTTAAAACTAGTGACGAACAAGATGAGTATAGTGGAAGTTAGAGCTTTGGTTGAATTATTAGCTTGCCAAGAGAGCTATATTTCGTGCTTAGTCTTTCATTAACTTCGAGACAATATAAAAATGTTCTTCACTTTTGTTAA